TTTCCAAGTGGAGGATGGTGTTTGCACAAAGACAATGGGTCAGAGCACACCCCCTTGAGTGTGAGACAGCTTTTGACCAAGAATGGCATGACCCCCATTTCCCCACCCTCCATATTCATCCGATCTCGCCCCTTGCGACTTTTTTTGGTTCCCCCGAATGAAGAAAATCCTCAAAGGAAATCGTTGTGCCGATGCGGAAGAGGTTAAGAAGAAAACGACGAAGTAATTAAAAACATGACGTCACAAGAGTTCCAGGAATGCTTTGAACAGTGGAAAACACGGCTGGACCGGTATAGTGCTTCAAATGGAGAATACGTTGAAGGTGATGAGAATATAAACATTTAACTTTAAATGAATAAAATTATATGACACAATTCCGTTTACATTCGAGCCTCTCCCCGTGTACTAATGGTGAACCACATCTCTGTTGTCTGAGGGATCCTGTTCGTCTATGAAACAACTGTCAGTTATAAGTCGAACTAATATCCTTGCAAAATATGTTATTCATATTATCCAGCTTAGACACCAGATTTAACTTGGGTTGGTTGACACCGAAATTGAAAGGTTTACTGCAGTAAAGATGGACAAACCCCAAGACTAAGCAAAGAATTAAGAAACAATTAAATTTCATTAGAGACAAAGGAAAGAGTAACGAAAAATCAGTCCTCCTATATGGCAATGAATGGTGGACAATCTGCTCACAGATGAAGAGACATGAAGCAAAGGCAACAAAGAGTAATGAACTGTTATGTAATATCAGTTCTCCCATGACAGGTTGCTCGGATAGATAAAGAGGAAAGTAGGATTTGTCAATCTGACACTTACATGGCACACTAACATCCGATGAAAACTGCACCTAGCTTATCTAACGATCTTGCGTAAATAGATGGCAGAACAGGGGAGAGATAACGAAAGGATAATGTTTTTTTTTTTAAACTACGTAGTATAGGAAGTAGTGAAGAGCCATGATCTCACACAGAAGAAGATATAAACCAGTGAAGGTTTGTTTCCGGGATATTGACATGAGAATAAACTATTCAAAATGAGTAAACTGAAAATGATGTATAGCTATGATTTATAGATTACTAGCAGGTTTCGATGCTCGGTACCACTTTCCAAAGAAAGATATATTCACTACTTGAAATCTTTGAAATAAAAATTTTAAATAAACATTTCAATCTTCAATTGGCTTGTTGTAGTTAAGGAAGGTTTTTCCAAATAGATGCCAACTTGTTGGAGACCAAGTAAAATGCAAATTTTAAACACTCTTCTGCACTATATAAGACGATATTCCTAAACAGAACTATTTTTGATATAGAAAAGTAGGACAGTTAATTGATGAAAATTTTATTTTTTAAATCAGTACGGAAATTAGTTAAGACTGAAGAGTGATATTGCCTAGAAGTAGATAATTTAATATATATATAAATATATATTCAGCTTTTAGTGGGTAAATTACTATTAGTAGAGCTGGGCGTTTTCATTTCAGAATTCCTGGGAGAACTGAGCTCCAATTTCGCATTATTCATATAGATTCCGTAATATAGATTTTACTAAAATAGCTATTATGTTTCTCAAACGCTTCCAATGTTGAATGTATAACTAATTCTAATTTCTATTTTCCCATCTTTACACTATATTAATTTTTACTTATAAATTGTCCCCTGTTCTGTCATCCATGAAATCAAAATAATTGTTTGTACGGAAAATAAGGACCTACGTACATCAAATAATCTTTAAATTAAGTGGCAACAGAAGAATTATCGTTGAACTTTTAAAAGGTAAGCTTGAATATTAATTGTTGTGGTAGGATCCACCTCATTTGCATAGTGGAGTACCGACCATGTAAATATGCTTGGTACCGGGAAGAGAGGGAGGAATCAAGAGATTCAACCAGAGACTCTGCCCGACTGCGACTAAGTCAACACATTCTCCAGGAACGGTCTTACCAGGAATATACAAAAGACTATATGTAAATATTGTGTACATTTTCTTGTTTCAATACATTTTGTTCTAAGTACATTTTGTGTTGCATTATTATTCCATGCATTAGTCAAGTTTCAACATTAATTCAATACTTAAATGCAACGATCATTTTTGAGTTCTTCTGTAGTTTATCGATGTCTGACGCATCTACACCCAGCAAGCAATTGTGATGATGTCCAAACCAAGAGTCCTCCACAGGAGCTAGCTTAAATGCCGCCAGATAAGGCGGCTTTTAAGTTAGTTCAAAATTTTAGCTCGCTTAAAATTTTAAGCTACCTGGAAATTTTGGATACAAAAGGAAAATAAAAGTAACTCCCTTTGGACTATGAGAACAAAGATATTTGCTAGTATAATATTTTTATATATTTCGAACCTCCACAATCAAATCAAAAGTCCTTCACAAGCCAGTTTATAATAAAACGTGCCAGGCACTTTTGGATACAAAAGGAAATTAAGAGTTACTCCCCTTGAGACATGAAAGCAAATAAAATGGCTAGTATAATATATTAATATATATTTTTAACCTCGCATAATCTAGCAACCCTGAATCTGAGCTCAACGGGCTTTTCAATGAGTTATGAAGCATTGAAATCTGACCAGTTGGGGTGCAGGAGTAGCTTGGACACACACTCACGTACAAACACACACTGTACTTTATATGTAAGATTGAAAAAAAAACGGTTGATAAAGTACGCCACAACTTTTGGAACTGCTAGGTAACCTAGACATATTGGAATGATATTAGAATAATCCAGAAGCGAGATAGAGTTTGGAGGCAAATCAAACAGGTTAAAAATTTAGATATCTGGGAAGCGTATTAATAGAGAACGGATTATGTGACGCTGATATTCGAAGGTAAGCTTGCATAGCGAAAGATGTCTTTCAAAATCTGAGCAAAGTATTATGCAAAAGAAAAATATTGTCAGAATCAAAGAAAAACGTGCTGAACTGTTATGTAGTATCATTCTTCATATATGGCAATGAATTCCGGACAATCTCCTCACAGATGAAGAAAAGTCTTGAAGCAAAAGAAATGTGCTTCTATGCTCATGGAAGAAACGATGATGATGTAGAAATAATGGCAACAAAACTGACGCTTATAATTTAACATCACGAAGAGGCAGTCGGGGTGACGCACATAATAAGTAAAGACGGCTTTTGAAAATTCGATACTCACAGGATATATTGAAAGAAAACAGGAAGTAACCATCCATCTGTCTATCCAGCTATCTATTCGCATCGCATCTATCTATCTATCTATCTATCTATCTATCTATCTATCTATCTCATTCACTTTACATCTTTCTTTCCAAATTAGTACAGTTTCTATCTATCTATCTATCTATCTATCTATCTATCTATCTATCTATCTATCTATCTCATTCGCATTAAATTGTTCTTTCTTTCTCTCCAAATTAGTTCAGTATCTATCTATCTCAGTTCGTTCATCTATCTATCTATCTATCTATCTATCTATCTATCTATCCCATGCGCTTTAAATCTTTCTTTCTTTCTCTCCAAATAAGTTCATCATGAGAAGGGAAACAGTAAGTAACCTAACCAAGGAGCTTGTATAAATGGATGTTAGAACAGGAACTGGTACGGGTAGGAAAGAGACAAACATTACTTACGCAGGATAGAACGTTGTGGAGAACCATGATCGCCTTCGTCCAGAAAAAAAAAACACTGCATATAAAGTAATATTCCTCCCTTTATTTAGACTTCTCGAATAAGTTACTCGCTGCATTTCTCGCCTTTACTTCTCGGTACACCCTACTTGTCGAGCTTGAGTGAATGGATGATGGAGCAAGTTTAGGGAGTAATAACAAAAAGGCAAAAAGATGTGTCTTGGGTTTGGTTTGTTCTACTGCATATCAACCTCAATGGATTATTTAATGCCGACAAAACATTTATTTCTGGTAACGTTTTTTTTTCCAAAACGTGTTGCTGGTAACAATGTATTTCTGGTAATAATCTTTTACCAAAAAAGTATTTCTGATATTAAAGCCTATTTTTACACTTTCATGGTGTTTTGACCGCAGTTTAGGGGTTAACTACTTGCCCACAGCTTGGACCCTAACAGGTGCTGCCACCTCGAGTCAGGGTGGACCTGGGAACACCAGCAAATTAAGAGGTGGTTTCACGATCTTCAAAAAATCCTGATCAGAAGCCTTGCTGTCGGACGTATTTTATCGTCTTACCCAGGACGTGGATGTAGTTTATCGTCTTACCCAGGACGCGCATGTAGTTTATCATCATACCCAGGACGCGGATGTAGTTTATCGTCTTACCCAGGACGCGGATGTAGTTTATCGTCTTACCCAGGGCGCGGATGTAGCTTATCGTTATACCAAGGACGCGGGTGTAGTTTACCGTCATACCCAGGGCGCGGATGTAGTTTACCGTCATACCCAGGGCGCGGATATAGTCTATCGTCCTACCCAGGACGCGGATGTAGTTTATCGTCATACCCAGGACGGGGATGCAGTTTATCGTCTTACCCAGGGCGCGGATGTAGCTTATCGTTATACCAAGGACGCGGATGTAGTTTACCGTCATACCCAGGGCGCGGATGTAGTTTACCGTCATACCCAGGGCGCGGATATAGTCTATCGTCCTACCCAGGACGCGGATGTAGCTTATCATCATATCCAGGGCGCGGATGTAGTTTATCGTCTTACCCCGGACGCGGATCTAGTTTATCGTCTTACCCAGGACGCGGATGTAGTCTATCGTCATACCCACGACAAAGGCAGAAAGTATTAAAAGCTACCAAGGATGGGAAATTGTGGAGAGCCATGATCCTCAACGTCTTGAAGGAACAGAGCTCATAGAGGAGGAGTGGGAGGAGAAGAAGAAGGAGGAGAAGAAGAAGAAGAAGAAAACGAAGAAGATATCTTCGTTTGTACGTCCTATACAACTTAAAACTTTTGTGGCGAAAGCTTTTTAATCTTTTTTTGTCGTGGAGGTGTATATCTGTAATTTATCCTGGAACAAATTTTTGGATTCGATACTCAAGATGCCATACTGGAGATTACAGGTCGTGTTTCTAGAGTCACGGAAAAATTAAGTTTCGTAGAAGAGAAAAATGTATAAGCATAATAAGTATTTATGGCATTAAAACACGCGGATAGGAAGGAAGGAAATGAAGTCGGAAGGAAATGGAAAAAGATGAAAAATGTTCCAAGGGGAGGAAAAAAAAAAGAAAAGAAAGAGAAGTAAAGCAAAATCTTAATTTTTATTAAGAAAGAAAAAATGGGAAAATATGGCGAAGAAGAAAGGGAGATAATTTTAGGAAACCTGGAGAATAATAATAAAGCAAATAGAACGAGAAAGAAAGAAAGAAAGAAAGAGTTAAAGAGATGTAAAGAGATATAAGGAATTTTTGATGGAAATAGAGAGAAAATAATTGGAAAAAAAAAAGAAGAAATTTGAATGAGAAAAAGAGGAAAAGAAATGAAATGACAATGGTAAGAAGAATGAGCGAAAGAAAGTTTGTCGAGGATAATGAAAAAAACGAAAGAAGAAAAATTCGAATTAGAGAAAGGAAAAAAATAAGAGAAATGAAGCTAGAAAGAAAGAAAGAAAAAAAAGAAAAGAATAGAAAGAAAGAAAGAAAAGAAAGAAAAGAAGAAGGAAAAGAAAGAAAGAAAGAAAAGAAAAGAAAGAAAGAACGAAAGAAAGAAAAAAAGAAAGAAAGAAAGAATGAGAAAAATTAAAAATAAAAGAAATTGAGATAGAAAGAAACTTTAATAAATAAATAATAATAATTTGATAAAAAAAAGAAGAAAAACAAATAAAGGTAAAATGGAAGAAAATAAAGAAAAACTAGAAAAAAAAAAAGAAAAAATACTTTTATGAAAGAAAAAATATTTGAATGGAAAAGGAGAAAGAAACAAAATGAAGTTAAGAAATAAATAAAGAAAGAAAAACATGGGAATTAGAAGAAAAAATGAAAGAAAGGAATTTAAATTTAAAAAAAAGAAAGAAAGAAATTGGAAATAATTTTGATTAAAAGATGGAAAGTAAAAGGTGAAAAAAGAACACAATTAAAATGAGAGGATGGGTCGGAAGAAAGAAAGTTAAGAAGATAAAGCAAAGAAACAAAAATGAATGAGTAAAAGAAGAAATATATTTGAATGCGAAAAGAAAGAAAAAAGAAAAAAAGCAAATGATAAAAGAAAACAGGAAGATCCTACAGAAAGTGAGAGAAAAAAATGATCATTTGGCTAAGAAAGAAAGAAAGAATGAAAGAACGAAAGAAAGAAAGAAAGAAAGAAAGAAATGAACTTGTGAGTTAATAGAAAGATAATAATTTATCGTAAAACGTACAAAAAGTAGGTAGGACGAAAGGATGTCTGACAAAAGAAGAAATCCCAAAATAAAATTGAATTAGAAACGAAGACTGTCAAAGAATGAGAGAAACAAAACAAAACAAAATAACAAGGCCTGAAAATATGAGGGAAAAACCATGGGAATCAGGAAATAAATAAAAAGAAATGAAAGGAAAAAATGGCGGAGGGCCTAGAATGAGAAAGAAAGCGAAAAATGCAAATGAAGGAAAAAAATAAAGCAATAAAGATAACGAAAGTCGAAATGACAATAAGTAAAAATAAATTCATAAAAACAAATATGGCGCATGAAATTAAATCAGACATAAAATCCTATGAAAGCTATTGAATGTTTTTTATCATCTTCGACGCGCAGTAAATGTCTTGAAACTTAGAAAAGCTCACGAATTTCATTGAAATTACCCGAGCTTATGTATTTAGACACACTGTCGTATATATCTTAAAGAATTATGAAAAAACGCAATCCAAAAATCTGAACACGCATTAGAGTTGACAAAAGAATGTATTCCAACAACTAAAAAAAAAAAAAAAAAAAAAAACAGAAAATGATTCTTGAATTACTTTGTAATATCAATTCTCTCGAAATGGCAGCGTATGCTGGCCAATTTTCTCTTGTATGAAAGAAATAATGGAAGCAACAGAAATATGGTTCTACTGACAGATACTGAGAATATGAACGGAGAACGTAAACGATAAGTGAATCTTAAGGTTGCTTGGTTGGATGCTTGTTTGGCTTTGCTGGATTTTTTGAACAGCTTATCAACACCTATGTTTTATTTAATGCCAAAATATAAAAAATTTGTACGCAGTTCTTTGACTTCAGATGTCCTTATGTACCATACATTTCTGTTATTAGTTTTCCAGAATGTCTTTCTCCCATTCATTCATATAAATTGTGTTCCAATAACTTGGACCGATTTTAAATGTGAATTAAGTTCAAGCGGCTAATGATTTTTTTCTTTTTCTTTCAGATTTAGCAACTTATGTCTTTAGCAATTTCAACCATATAAAGATTAACAATCAAACAACGTGTTAAAGTTATCGAATCCTATTACACTTTTCGATACACAATTGAAACTTTTTTTTTCATTGCGTGCCATATAAATGGTGCTCCAATAACTTGGACCGTTTTTTAATGTAAATTAAGTTTAAGCGTCTAATGATGTTTTTTTTTTTTCAGATTTAACAATTTGACTCTTTAGCAATTTCAACCATATAAAGATTAACAATCAAACAACGTGTTAAAGTTATCGAAGCCTATTATGAAAATAGACGCTCAAACAGAATTTTGAATGAGAAGTTCGCAGGTCGTATCATCTCTTCAAACAGCAAAGTCAATTGGCCACCACGATCGTGCGACTTGACGCCTTTAGATTTCTTCCTTTGGGATCATCTCAAAAGTAAGGTCTATGCCAACAAGCCAACAACAATTCAAAAGCTGAAGGATGAGATAATAAGGCATACTGGTGAGATCGAGGAGTAACTATGCAGAGACGTCATCAAAAATGTTGACCATCGGGTGGAGGTGTGCCACCGAAGCCTTGGCGAACATTTGGGCGATATTATTTTTCAAACATAATTGCCATGGCTTAAATAATATGATCCAATAGAGAAATGAATAAATTTTCACCAATAACACTGATTTATTTACTGCTGACTTTGATCCGTCTTAATGAAACACCCTTTATTTGGTTCACATATTTTAATAATTTAGTAAATGTTTATATATTTAAGAATATAAAATTGTTTTTATATTTATTTGTTTATAAACTAGTAAATGATAAATATTGCATTGCATTAGTTTAAATGTGAATCAAGTTTAAACGTCTAATGATCTTTTTTTCTTTATCTTTCAGAGTTGGCGGATATTTGGGCGATATTATTTTTTACACATAATTGACATGATAGAGAAATGTATAAATTTTCACGAATTACACTGATTAATTTACTGCTGACTTTGATCCGTCTTAATGAAACACCATTATATATAATCCGTCTTAATGAAACACCCTTTATTGCTTCTATTCAATCCATTATTTATATTACTAACCTTACTCACTATACATTTCTTTAACCGATCTCGCAAGAATATCTTACTCCCATTTAAGCATATATTACTTCTATTCTATCTATTTTTATATTACTTTCCTTGCTCACTATAGATTTCTTTTACCAATCTTACCGCAATGTCTTTCTCCCTTTTATACATATACTACTTCTATTTTAGACATCTTTATATTTATATCCTTGCTCAATATAGATTTCTTTTACCAATCTCCCAACATTATCTTTCTCCCTTTTGTCTGTATTTTTCTTCTATTCTTGCCTTCTTTATATAACTATCCTGACTTACTATACATATCGTTTACCAATCTTTCCATAATGCCTTTCTCGCTTTCATCCATATATATCTACTATCGACATTATATCTACAACAGAGGTAACGACTTTTAATCCTGGGTTAGTGTGGACTTGGGATCAACTATAATTAAGATGGGGTTTCACGACCCTCAAAACATCTAATCTCATGATTAGAAGCCTTGCTCCCGGTAGTAGTTTATCGTCATACCAAGGACTTATATATATATATATATATATATATAAGAAATACAAAGAAAGAGAGAGGGGGTGAGGAATGATGGAGATTCAGAGTTAAGGATAAATAAACATGGGGAGAGAGAGAGAGCGGAGAGAAAGGGAGGACGAAAGGGGGAGAGAGCGAGAAAGACAGAGACCGAGAGAAAACAGTGATACCCCCCGTATTCTTGGGGGTTAGGGACCAAAATTAGACGCGAATAGTTAGAATCCGTAAATACTTGTACCCTATCCACACGAAAGAGCTTATAAGTATCTATTTTGATTGTTAAAACCCCATATGCCTTACACTTTCATCTTAAACACTTTAGAAACACTTAAGACCCTTTTAAAAACATTTTTGAAAAATACTATTGGTAACCATACACATAGCGTAAATTTGTTTTCATACGTACAATAAACGTTTTTAATTACACATGGATCGATACAACCATTGAAAATACTGTATAAAATATGTGTAACAAGAAATAAAATATAAAGAATAAAACATTTTCTAAACACAGAACTGTTATGATTCCCCCAGACTTAGCATAAGCCACTTTTAAAACCCCAACCGCAGCCCCTAACAAAGAACAAAGCCCAAACACTACGCATGGTTTTGCGTTTGTTTTTGTTTTTTTAATATGAAGATGTACAATTCTGCCAATTTTTACCATAAAAATGAATGTTATATATTTTAAGTCACTTAAATAACAGGAAAAAAATACAAGAATATTTTAAATATGTTCTACTGAAAAAACATACGCGAATCGAGGGAGTTCTCTCAGCGAACAATTTGTACATATGTTCTTCAGAAAAACACGCGAATATTCGGGGTTACCGCGGATAACAAGTACACATGTTCTAAAGAAAAATCCGCGAATGTGTGAAACCGCGAATGCGGGGCCTCACTGTACTGAAAAGTGGTTCACTGATTCGACATGATGTCTGCAACGGAACTATCGACTTTTGACCAAAATATAATGTGGCCGACATTCCGTAGACCAATTCAATTTTTCCTGGTAGGCACAATGCTGTTCGATAAAAGTGACTCACCTTATCCTTTGAATTTAGCTCAACTTTCGTTTCATCAAAGAAGAGAGCATTCTTCCATTCTTCTACGGTGAAATTTTTGTAATAGTAATCCCATTCAAGTCTCTTGGCTTTGTTGACTTTGCTTATTAGCGACTTAAACCTTCATGTACAAGATTTGTAGCCTTGTTCTAACAAGATTTGTAAACTTGTTCTGACGGACTTTTGAAGAGGCAAGACTAACACCTTGCTCTTCGCTTAGACAGGCTGCAATTTCTTGGCTAATTATAGTCCTATTCTTCGCAACTTCTTTCTTGATTACCCTGCCAGTTCTATCATCAATCTTTTTCTTTCGTCCCCTTGTTTCCTTCCATGGAACAGGAGTGGCATCATTATGTGCCCTAAACACTCGAGAGACAGTTGATTGCGAGGTTATAGCAATTTCTGCAATTTCTCTGGTAGACTTTCCTGCTTTCGAGACCGCATAATAGATGCCTTAAGTGGTTCTGATGCGTGTTTGTACCCTTTCCTCTGGTTAGTGACTTGAGTGGCAATTTCAAGCTGTTTTTATACTGTATGAGGCTGTCTGAAATATTCTGGAATACCCTCGATTTAATTTAAGCTGTTCTAGAATTCTCTAGAATATTGTTCTAAGTGTATTGTAAAATTGTTTTCAATATTTTGTCAAAAGTTCTTTTAATTTACCAGTTTAATCATTAGAATGCGATATCTGAGTCACTTTTTTTGCACAGAGGTTTTTTCCTGAATCTCATTTATATCCAAATTTATAATTATCAATAGAAAATCTTAGGGTGAATAAACTTTTTTTCCTAGGTGGTCGGGAAGGGGTCTTTATATTAGTAAGATAAAAAATTATTTTATCCCCAAAAACAATAGGCAAAAAATATTTTTAGTAAAAAATCAGGTGAGTCACTTTTATCGAACAGCACTATATATATATATATATATATATATATATATATATATATATATATATATATATATATAATTATCGTCCGTTAAGTTTTGTCAAGTTCTGAGGATTAATTATACCGCAAGTAATCTTTAAATACTGTAACATTCGAGAAGACATTTGTTCAAAACATTTTATTAGCATTAAAAATGTGTGTTTCTATCAATCAATTCAGAATGGGCCAACACAAATTATCCGAGCTTCTTTTATCCGAAATACAGGGTGTGTCCCCCACAAAAAAAATTGATATCGTTGTGTTTCTTGCTCAAAGGATCTCAAATATTAATAATTTTGACTCAATGAGAATCAACCAGGAAGAGGAATCGGCGTGTGCCAGTAATAACGACAATGTCCAGTTGAAATGGCTCCTCACGTTCACCTGACTTGGCACCTTGTTATTTTTTTCTATAGGTCTATGTGAAAGGTCACGTCTATATCCCATCCCTTCCTACGAACCGAGAGGAACTTAAGAAAAGAATCAATTCGGCATTGGAGAATGTTACGCAAGATATGCTACAGCGTGTTTGGCAGCCGCTGGACTACCGACTTGATGTGTGTCGTGTCACAGGTGGTGCGCAGATTGAACATTTGTATAGCTTTTTGAAATCGGGTTTAAGATCTACACCCCTTTGAATATCATGTTTGAATTTTGATTAATAAATATTTTATTTTTCCACATGAAGCCTATTTAATTTTGTTTGCCGTGAACATGTAGTTACTAAGATATCTACATTTTAAACTGCGTCAGTTTGTGGTGGTAGCTCTGTATATAACATCGGCACATGAATAAAGCGTTGGTTAAGTGATTCAAAAAGTCGCTTGATCCAAGTTGTTAGGAGTTCAATACCTGGCCACAGCAGAGGTGAACAAAAACTTGGAAAGTTGAGTTACTAAAGGGAATTAACTGAAACTGAGATATCCAGAAAAAGGCATGGCACGTGGAACTAGAACTAGAACAATCTATCCCTGTGGACTAAATAAAAGGTTCGGTTCGAAATGCCAACATATATCACCTGAAGAAGGCCGGACCGTACAACAGATGAAACTTAAGTCATTTTTTCCTGAAACGTTATGAATATGGCTATAAATACCCTCTCTCTCACTCTCTCTCTCTCTCTCTCTCTCTCTCTCTGTCGATGTATATCTTTATGTATCTCTCTTTCTCTTTTGATGTTTAACTTTGCTTATCTCTCTTTCTTAATTTCTACTGTTGTTTCTCTCTCACTCTCACTCTCTCTCTCTCTCTCTCTCTGTCGATGTATATCTTTATGTATCTCTCTTTCTCTTTTGATGTTTAACTTTGCTTATCTCTCTTTCTTAATTTCTACTGTTGTTTCTCTCTCACTCTCTCTCTCTCCCGGAAATTGTCTTCGTCCCTTTGTCTCTGTCTATGTTTCTGTCTGTCTGTCTCTCTCTCTTTCTCTTGGTTTTTGTCTTTCCTTGTCTCTCTCCCCTGGTAGCTGCCTTTGTCTCTCTATCTCTCTCTATCTCTCTCTTTCTTTCTCTCTCTCTCGCCTGGTTTTCTTTCTTTCTGTTTTTAGAAGAAGAATCAGTCATTGTCTCCTCATTAATGCTTAAATGGTTAACTGTTTCAGCCCACCGTTCCGGAACAATTTCAACCCTTCTGCCTGAGCACCCGGGTCAAAATTCACAAATAATTGATATGTAATGTTTCACGGTAGATATGAAAATAGTTACGAGTGTTTACTCCCCGTTCAACCAGTGGCTGTGCATTAAGTCATTTTTCTCTACCACCGTTCAACCGGCGGCTGAGAATTCAGTCATTTTTTTCTACCACCGATAAAGCGGGGGTCAGGACTCAAAGGTTTAAGAAACAGATTTAATTTTACAAGGAAATGAAACCAAAATTTAAGATGGGAAATTGTCTGGGAACGACATTGGAAAATTTTACTAAAGCAATATGTAATAATTATATACGACGTAGAAGATGTAACTCCAGAAATCTTTTCTGCTTTAGTTTCACTCATATGAATGATATTACCAAATATGATTAAAAAATATGAAAATATAACATCTGGTAGGAATGGCAATCAAAGACTAAATAACAAGACTGACGTCAGAGAGAGCAAACTTAGAAACCAGAAAATAAATCAGAGCGGAAATGTTTAAATATCGACTAGACAATAACGATGGCGAGACGCCATTAAAAGTAGAAAAATGAAAGAAACACAATTTTAGAGATAGAAGCCGTAAGAAAATGATTAGATTATCAGGCGAAAATTAGGTTAATTCCTTGAAAATCAAATAGAAGCACGAGAATGAGTTATTTACAAAGTAAGAAATCCACAGGGGTAAGAAATTGTAAAAAAACAAAAACAACAAAAAAAACAAAAATTCAATATTAGATGCGTCGACTCATACATTCAAAAACCTCTAACAGGATCAAGCGTCATGTAAGAGGATTAATTAAATATTGAGTTTGGATTAGCGACAAGTCTCACGGCGGCTGATCGAAATCTTCACTCGACTTTTAAGATTACCGAGTTTGCAGACGTAAATTCATTATCATCGAATGAAGAATTTTTGCGCATGCGTAACATGGGCTAGCCAAGACCTTATCCCAAGTAGATAATGATCAATATGCAAATCAATGTTGTTCTTTCCTTCACTCCCTCCCCATATATATATATATATATATATATATATATATATATATATATATATATATATATATATATATGTGTGTGTGTGTGTGTGTGTGTGTGTGTGTGTGCAGATACGTAGAAAATAGGAAAGAACAGGTTAGGTAAATAATCCGTAGTTATTTAGTATTTTGTTTTTATTTTTAAAACAGTGCTCCCATACAGAAGTAGAGTTGATATATATATATATATATATATATATATATATATATATATATATATATATATATATATATATATATAAAATGATTAAAGATATCTTACTGGAATTCTCCTAGGATTTTATAAAACTATTAAACGCTACTTTGGTATCTTGCTGAAATTCTTCGAAGATTTTATAAAACTATTAAACTCTACTTTGAATAATAAGAACGTATTTAGCTCTAAGTTGAAATGATGATCTCTCTTTCTGCTATGAGCTCCTGACACAGTTTTCCTCGTTACTTTTCCCTCTTTTTAAAATTTATTGCCCGTTCTCTTGATGGTTCTCGAATGGACTTTGCATATTGAAGCCGGATTATGAATGTTAATCCAGTTTAATCTGTAGCATGATCTATTCATCAGAATTCGGATAATGAGTTTTATGAAATTGTTCGCCAGGCTGATAGTACCGTCGGGTTTCTCATTTGTTTGTATTTGGTTTCGCAGGTAGTGCTAAGAAAATAGGTCTACTTATGTCTTCAAGTACTGTTATAGGTTTCATTTATTATTTCTGTAATGTCACCTATGCCTAAGTCACCTAAGGTTGTCAGTATCTCTAGAGTTAGAGTTGTCAACAACCACTTTGCTACATCGAACAAATATATCCCTTTCCGGGGCATATATATATATATATATATATATATATATATATATATATATATTTGATGTAATGAATATGCATACACCTGGGTTCCCACTTTCCAATAATATGATTGGCTGGTGTCAGCCATAAATGCAGACTGATGTGGAGGTACATGGACGGCGCCTATTGTCTTCGCCTGTTGTTTACGAGTATTGCCTACCATTACGACGAGGACCAGTCCATTACGGTTGCCTGCTAGATTTTCCTACCCGGTTAGAGTAGTCAAGAACCACTTTGCTACTTCGAACAAATATATCCCTTTCCGGGACATATCAGAAGATCATGTCTGTTGTCCTGTTGATTCTTTTATTGTGTATGCATATTTGCTTTATCTGTGATACTCAATCTTTCTATTCCTGGAAATTCCTATTCAGCGAGTCAGCCTTTGTTCCTTATTTCTTTGTGTAGTGTTATATGTTCTTTCCGTGTCTTGGCATTCTTTTTTGTTTCCGTGCCATCATGTCGAGAATCTCATCTGTTATCCATTCAATTTTGGGTTTTTTTCGGCTACTTTCCTTTGGGATAATCTCGTTTGTTGGTATCACTAAAGCTTCTCTTAGTGTTTCCCACGACGAGTTTCCATTTCCATTTTGTCCTTTATATCTGCTTTTCACACTGTTCATATATTTCTCCTTCAGATCCAGGTCGTTCAAAAATGTCTTATTGCAATGTGGATGCTGCTGTAGGCTTCTTTCTAATCCCGTAGCTTCATTCTAAGTTTACATCTAACTTGGAAGTGATCGCTTCCACAGTCGGCACTTGGATAGTTTTTTTCAATGTACCTCTTCATTTCTGAATTATTTTCGCGATGAATTACTTCAAGGGAAAGCAGAATACATTGTATGTGGTGGCATGTTTAGATTAAAATTGTTGGAATATTTCAAACAATCACAAAATAAATTAATTAAACACAGACATTAACAGTATAATAATTTAAGCATATATATATATATATATATATATATATATATAACACAATAAATATATATATATGTAACACTATGAATATATGTATATAACACTATAAATATATATATAACAGTATAAATATATATATATATATATATATATATATATAACAGTATAAATATACATATATATATATAACAGTATATATATATATATATATATATATATATATATATATATATATATATAGAGAATTTATTGTGTTATATATATATATATATATATATATATATATATATATATATATATATTTATATATATATATATATATATATATAAAAAACGCAATAAATTTTCTGGGGAAATAAATTATTACAGTGGAGCCTTAAAAAGTGGTCTGTTTTATTTAAATTAATATATATATATATATGTATCTGAAACACGCAGAAGACATTAATTTATATACTGGTGTAAACCCAAAATTATCCAATTGTAAAATTAAGCTCCGAATTGTTGCATTTTAGAAATGATTAAGAATATTTTACTGGAATTCTCCGCTTTTATAACACGTGGCACGTGGAACTAGAACAGTCTACCCCAGTGAGCGAAATAAAGGGTTCAGTTCGACATTCCAACCACCTGAAGAAGGCCGGTGCGTACAATGGCCGAAACGTTGTAATAAATATGGCGACAAAGTTGAGGACAATAATCCGAATAATGTAAATAATTAATCTTTTTGTTTGATGGGTAATTATGTGGTTAAACGATTTGGACAATTTTGCTGTTACACAAGATATATTTGAAAAAAAACACACACACACACACACACACACACACACAAGTTTGCGCTGAGGTTACTTTTCTTGAACAGCTTATGATGCTGCAAAACTATTGATCCTCCATGTTCTTAAAGAGGCTCGTCAGATCTAGGCTTCCATTTGGTTATCAAGCATTACGTCGAATTATTATTTGTGTCGTAACTAAGCGAGACTGGAGAAGTAGAAGTACTCTTGATAGCATTATGTGCTGCACATCCGGAAGTAGGTTCCGCCATATTGTTTGACCAGAAATATAATCAAGGCGGGCTATACGTGTGGCAGATTTCAGTGGACGTGTGATCTCTCAAGTTACAACAATTTGTATACAAGCATTTTCTCACTTCTGTGATTAAAAGGATTTAAATCTGCGAACAATATAGAAAATGATAGTTTATCAGATCCTGTCATCTGGCTCGACAGAATCACGAACTAAAGGCTTTAGCAAATGGCAAAAACCAAATCAAACTTCCAGCAGTAGTAACAGAAATGGCGTACGGCTAAAAAAAGCAAATGATGATATAATGAAATTGTTAAATATGCACACTACAAAACAAAACAAAACAAAACAAAACAAAACAAAACAAAACAAAACAAAACAAAACAAAACAAAACAAAACAAAACAAAACAAAACGGGGCAGTGGAGTAATGGATAGCGGCTCGGACTGAGTAATCGGAGAGCCGAGTTCGAATTCCATTACATTCACTTACGTGCTAATACCCTTGGGAAAGATATAAATCCTCTTCTTCTCCTCCCACCCAGCGATGGATGAATAGCAGGACAGACCGGGCTGCTCGGATTGAGGAATCGGAGAGCCGAGTTCGAATTACAGACGAATCCATTACAGTCGCTGACGTGATAATACCCTTGGGAAAGGTGTGAATCCTCTTCTTCTTCTCCCACCCAGCAATGGATGAATAGCAGGACAGACCGGGCAGCTCGGATTGAGGAATCGGAGAGCCGAGTTCGACTTCCAGTCGAATCCATTCCATTCACTTATGTGCTAATACCCTTTGGGAAAGGTATGAATCTCTTCTTCTTCTCCCACCCAGCAATGGATGAATAGCAGGACAGACCGGGCAGCTCGGATTGAGGAATCGGAGAGCCGAGTTCGAATTCCAGTCGAATCCATTCCATTCACTTATGTGCTAATACCCTTGGGAAAGGTATGAATCCTCTTCTTCTTCCCCACCCAGCAATGGATGAATAGCAGGACAGACCGGGCTGCTTGGATTGAGGAATCGAGAGCCGAGTTCGAATTCCAGTCGAATCCATTCCATTCACTTATGTGCTAATACCCTTGGGAAAGGTATGAATCCTCTTCTTCTCCCCACCCAGCAATGGA